TGCTGCACTTGGAAGCTTGCTCTGGAAGCACAAATGCTGAGAATGTTGTTTCACATTTTGATGAAGTTTCTGAGTATTCTTCATCAGAAGAATGGTCTTCAGAAGAAGAAAGCTCAAAAGATAACATTCAAATTGACCCTAACCATTTCGAGAACATGGACCAAAGACATGGATACTTCCTCTAAGGATGAGGAAGTTCGTCCTGGAAGCACAAATGCTGACAATATGTGGACACATTTTGGAGAAATCTGAGTTTTCTACATCAGAGGAATCGTCTTCAGAAGAAGAAAACTCAGAAGATGGAAATCAGAATGACACTGATGATTTCGACGGCATGGACGTAAATCTTGACTCAGCCATGTACTTTTGCAAATTTTCCAGCTCCATTTTTAACTGCTGGATGAATGCCACAACACAAAGCATTATGAACTTGACTACTGTCAGAAGGTTTGTGGTTCAGTTTCCTGAGGAGATGTCTGAACTTTTTGCAGCGACACCATTGTTTGCAAGGTGTTTCTTTACAGCAATGTACCATCCAAGAAAATATTTTCCTCCACATGAAGTCTTTGCAGTTCAGGAAACTCTGAAGATCAGGGATGTAAAACATCAGGACAAGCCAGGAGTTCTTTTGTTTTACATGTCGCTCTAACTGGTCCAGTATGGCGTCTACAGACTGTAAACTGTACACACAGCTGAGTATTCTGAACAATGTCAGAAGTGTTCACGAATTATTCGTAACCTTGGTCCTGTCATTCCTCTGCCAAAGGAACAACAAAATGACACTACATCGACTCTTCTGAAGGGTTATTGGAGTGGAATTTCAGAAAGTTGCGACACGTGCAAGTTCAACAAAAAGAGCGATTCCTTTTTCAATGACACTGATGTGATGACCCTGATACTGCCATGGCCAGACAAGACGATATCAGACATCCTGTGATACCTGATCCAGCACTTGAAGTTCCTGTAAAAAGTGGAACTCAGTCATATCATCTGTCCTCCGTCATTTGCTGGAGACAGGCAACTACTTCTGACACCAGCAGCCTTTATACATATCTGATGTGTGGAGAACAGGTGTTTACGGCAAAGGATGAGCGGATGTCACTGGCAAATATCGACTGTGGAGCTGACATTTGCAGCAATGGGTACATCTACATCTATGAAAAAGCCAGAGAAGGACAGGTGGAATACAGTGTAGGGCTCAAAGTGACCACCGATCAACAACAAAGATAGTGCTTCAGACACATTTTGGAGGAAGTGGGTGGAACATAGCCCGCACAGAGTGGGACATGTCCCTTCTTACATTGTGCAGGAGTTGTAGCCACAAATTTTTAAGTGCCTGTTTTGGGGGCAACGCTAGAATCAGCTTGTGGGCACCAGAAGGGAGGGATGCTGTCAAGCTGAAGACAGAGATCTATTGGGTCTTTTTGGACTGTGATACCCTAGAAGCAGCTAATGGGTACTGGCAGTCCAAGTGGCATGCAGCTCAGGTTTTTGCTGAGGCACAAACTCAGATGTGGGTGAAGTTCACAGAGGCCATGGAGAATCTTGGATCGGGCAGAGTAGTTCAAAGATCTCCTCAATCTCACCATTGCATCCTGAATCCTACCATCACATCTTCCACTGAGGAAGTGGAACCTGGGGACTTTGGATCAGGCTCTTTTTTTGATTTGACCATGGTGAGAGGTGCAGAGAAGGAGTGAGCATACTTTTTGCCTCCCATTTTGGTGCCTGTATGTTGGGATTCACACCAGTTAATCTTTTCACCTACTTGTTATGTTATTGGGCAGAACACCACTCAGTGTTCTGTCGTCATGGTGTATCCATAATGTACACCATGTTCAAGCATGAGGGTGTTCATATGTGCTCTTGGTACCAGGACACTGGCCAAAGTTCTGTGGTAGACATTGTTGTCTTCTCATCTAATCTGTGGCTGAAAATTAGCTTTTTTCAGTGTTTTTATTTTTTTAGCATTCAACATTGTGCATAAATGTTTTGTGTTTGATAAACAGCTTGATGTCTTTTTGGCTCACCGTATGAATGTTTTCTGCATGTTTATTCAAATAATATCAGAAGAGTCATTTCATCCTACTTATTCTCTAAAGTAATAAGTGCTCCATCATTTATAAAAGTAAGGATACTTTTATAAATGATGGAGTACTTATTACTTTAGACCAATATTCAGCTTTATACTTTTAGTAATGAGGCAACATAGAGAGAAACTCCTGTTAGTTTACTTAGCAACACTGTGCATATCTAGAACTCACTGTTAGAATTTTTTTTGTTGGTCTAAAATATTGAGTACTCCAAAATTTCTAACAGTTGCTTTATACAGTTTAGTTTATTACTTTTACAAACTGTGGAGTACTTTAGACCAGTGGCGATTCTAGCCCTGGTCTAAAGCAACCCTATTCAGGGGTGCTGTATCTCGATGTTGCATCCTAGAAGTAGTTCATTTAAATTATTACTATTTTTTTTATTTATGGATAAAACACTCCATTTATTTAATGTATTTTATTTGCCCAGTTGTTTTTGTTCAACCTACAAAATTTGAGCTACGTGCTAGTCACTGATTGGTTGGGTAGCAAGTGTTGGTCAGTTGTGACATTGTAGTGGCTCTTTGGTTCACAATATCAAATGATGAAACATTGCTCTGTTTTTAATTATTTTTTTAAGTGTCGTTTATTCTATGAATTACTGACATGTCTCTTTATTTTGTTTGTGAATGTATGTAAATAAGCAGTTAGAGTTAGAAAACTGCACAAACGACTATCTTCTCAAGGGTCTTAGCCCTGCTGGGGGCTAAGCACCCCTAAAAGCCAGATCCTATAATCTTCCCTGACCACGCGCCTTGTTCAGATTGGGATTGGTGTGTTACATATGTCACAGGCAAACGTTAGCGGTTGAGTGAAATTCAAAACCTCGGCATGCCTTCAGGAAGCAATCGTTTCTCAATAGCAGAGTGTTCAGACCCTCTGGACGAAGTGAAGCGTAGACCAAAGAGCTGGTTTTTACCAGGCTAAGATGAACATGATCATGATTCTACACTAATAGACAACATCAGTGGTCCCCAACTTCTAATGCTAGTCCACAATTCAGAAAACTTGTTTAGGGCTGAAATATTTTATTTAGACTTGGTCGTTTTTAATAGGGAGGTAATATCTGGCATTTCTCGGTGCTGTAAAAATGAACTAAACCACTTTCTACCATAGAATTTACAAACGTGTTCGTTCGTCGGGTCGTTTGTCCTCACAGCAGCAGGCAGAAATAGGTTAAGAATGTCCTTATTTCTTCCAAGGGGGTGATTTGTAAATTGCTCAGCATTGGGACTAAATGTAACTCTATTTTAGTAATATGAAAGGAAAATATAACATTTTGTGAGACATGAAAAGGAAAATTATACATGAAAGCATAAAGGTTGAAAAGCACCTTTTCAGTCCAGTCACTGTTTGTCATTTGTAATGTCAGTCTGACCTTTAAGGCAAACTAACTCTCTAGGGCTTCCACTGTAACTGGACATAATCAAACACTGGCTATACGGCATATAAAATATGACATTTGGCAGCCATGTTTTGCATACCTCCTGAAGTGTGAGACACTCGACTGTTTGAATAGAAAAAAAAAATTAAATAAGAGGTTCTACTTTAAGTTGGAGCAACATTCAAAAACTAAACTAAATTTTCCCCTAAATATCATCTGCCTATATTCGTCCTAGATTTGGTGTAATAAGTCTCCGAGTATTTATCAGCCGTCCATAGCTGCGGTTGGCTCAGAGAATCGTCACAGCTACGCAGCTGAAAGCCCCGGTCGCTAATTAAAAATGACGTTTTCAAAAATGATTTTCGCGGAATGCCAAAAAATTGTCCGCATTTCCCGTTTAGTTTTGCGCTCGCAGACGGCGACGTGTCCGAAGTAACGCATTCATGAGAGGCATCTTAGTAATTTAATCGTCCGTCGCCATTCTTGTGTGGCAAATGTCATTCAAAAGGACCATAGGCTCATTACGGAGGTCTGCGCAGTGACAAGGAGCTCAAAAGCCGAGTACATTAACACTAATTGGGCTGCATATTTATGCAAATGCACAGTTGACAATTGTTAGCTGAGGGGAGAATACTAACCCTCTTAAGCAGAGCATATAAAGCGCGGCCATATTTCTTAAAAAAAAAAAAAAGAAAAGAAAAAGCACGATGCATCTCTCCGGAGCACATAGCACTTAGAGACGCTTGGCTCTTCATGTTTTTTTTGCTTTTCTGCTCCTTACAAAGGTTTACAAAAAAAAGTGCAGGTTCAGAAGACATTAAAAAGCGCCCCACCACCCCACACTGTTTTTGTTCAACGAGAATCTGAAACCCGTTTTGTCCCTTTTAGAAAACATCTCTAGGAAGAAAACACGGCCTCTGAATCATTAATTAGCGAAGGCTTTGAATATTTTCCAGACATCGTGTAACTTTGATCGCAGACTAAAACATGATCACTCGCAGTCCACTTGTGTTTCTTTGCCTCGATCCTCCTGAATGTTAGATCTATTTTTGTTCAATATTTCATAGCAAGGACTTACCAGGAATGGGTGAAATGCAAAAATTCGAAAATGTTTTTTTTTTTTTAACTAAAAGAAAGAAGGAAAAATACGGGTCAGAACCTCCAGCCGGTCTATAAAAATATATTTCCGCAATTGCATCTGGGATTGAAAGCAGACGAAGAAAAAAAAATGTAGCGATGGTCAGGGATTTGATGTAAAACTTTTCATTTCCCCCTACAGGCTTTGTGATGTGCTGTAACGTCTCCCGCTCTACGGAGGCTTTTGATGGACATTTTTAGTAGTTTGCTGTGAGCCTGTTGATCTGAGAAAGTTTGAAAAGCCGGGCCAACAGCTGATGTTTGTTGGCTTGCACATACCCAACTCTAAAAATAACAAAAGACCAGGCAGTGATCTGCTGCTGGTCTCCACAGTGATGGATAAACACACACACACACACACACAAAAAAAAATAAAAAATCAAAAACAACATAGCCAAGTAAGATTTATTGGGTTTGGTTGGATGAAAAACTGTGAAAATGAAGATCACATGTTACAGTATTTTCAGAGCTGTCTGATTATGTGTATTCAGGGTAGTTTTCAATTGTAAGGTAATGATTTTGTAAAAAAAAAAAAAAAAAGCCAATGAAAATATGCTTTGTGAGGAGAAAAACTACAAATTAAACTGATTGGTCCAATTATGGAGGTGCAGATTGTCCTCTTTATTCTCAACACCCCAGTAATAAAATGAGTCCAAGTTGGAGTAATCTTGGTTTTATTGATAAATAATAATAAAAAAAATAGACCCTGGTGATTTCTCACTTTATTTGGAGTTGATATTTTTCACAGCACATCATAATAAGCTTGCTGCAATCAGAACTGCACAGTTTGAATTATTTATACCTCCAGTTATACGGTGCCTCTGCAATTTCTAAAACATCTTTATGTTTCTGATGCGTGGACTAGTGTTTAAATTTTAAAAACATTTCATCACAATATTGCATATTTTCTGAAGTTTCCTGTAACAAAGTAAAATTGCTTTAAAACTTAAATAAAATGTAAAAAAAGGAAAGAAACTATTGCTTCATTTACCTGCTGAATGTACTGGTTTGCTTCTCTTTGGTTCAGGAATGTGCTTTTCTAAACTTGCCAGACAGTAAATGTGCTAAAAAGTTTTACTTTTCACAGACTTGACTTAAAAACAGAACTAATATAAAAGTAAAAGACAACGACGGAGTGTAAAAACGAAAAGCAACGAGCTCGTAACAGTCGGGTCTCACTGAAGGTGCAGGTTCGTTACCAGCAGATCTGTGATTTCTGAGCTCAGTTCGCGCCCGACCGAACCTCCGTCACAGCTTCGCCTCGCGCCGTTAAGCGGACACTCTCGTGTGAACGCGCTCACGTCGAAAAAAGAATGACAACCGACTGAACACAGTGCGCGTGTTGACCCACAGGGAGAAGTTTTTGCAGGTTTCACAGCGACTGCTCGCTCTTCAACCTGCAGGCCACGGCCGTGATGAGCGCCGCTCCTTTCCCGCTGCCGTCCTCCGACTTGAGGAACGTCACCTCGCACTGCGGGGCCAGGTCCTGCAGGGTCTCCTGCATGATCCTCGAGAAACTTCAGAGAACAAGGAGGGAGCAGAGAGCGGAACACAAAAATTAAGATTTCTCAGTCGGGCCGCTGAATGATTAGAAATTTGAATCTGATTAGTCGAGAGGCTGCTGTGAATTAATCATGATTAATTAATTGGTTAAAAAAACAGTTAATAAATGAACTCTAAATGGTTTTGTTAGGGCTGCCGATTGATTAAAACAGGATGGGACGGGCAGTCTTATGTAATATCTACTTTTTTCAGCTTTACGTCAAGTCGTAATGTTATTAACCCACTCAGCTCCTTCAGACTAGCCAGAAGTAATCAGCAAACAGCAGGTGGAAATGAGCATCTGCTGAGCTCATTATAGGTGCTACTTCTTAGTGAAATGCTGGTAAAAATGATGTTAAAGGGTTAATAGAGGAGCCACATTGTGATGACTTCCCAAAGGCGGAGTTTTAGAAAGAATATAAGTTTTTCTTGAGACATAGATCCAATTTCACGGCGTTAAATTACAAAGTCAAATTTATTTTATGTTACATGTGATTTACACAGCACTTTTATATCAACTCAAAGTAGAAGTTACCAGATTGTGCTATTAAAATGGCAGTATGTGCTTGGAGAATACAAAACGCTGCCCCTTTAAAGACTCATGTTTGAGGTTTAAAACACATTAAATTAACAGAAAAGACTAATCCTTCAAATTAAAACTTCTTAATAATTGGGAACAAAGCGTAGGTGAAACCAACGTGACGAACTTCAATAAATTAAAATGTTCCTTACTGAGGATGGGTCTTATAAAGGGTACCGTCCACTCCCACAGTGATGGACATTTGGTTCAGGTTGCGGTTCTGCCGGATCTTGTCAACGAGAGCGGCCAAACCGGCGCCACAGAGCTGCGCCGCGCGGCGACCCACGACGCTGCACACCTCCTTCACCAGGACGCTGTCGTCGCACGTGGAGCCGGTGAGGCCGAGGTGCTGCAGGATGGAGCGGACCTGACGCATGGCCAGCCGGTCGCTGTGGGAACAGGGACAGTTCAGGGACCTGTGCTGGACAACTCTGTTCGTTTTAGCTCCAGGTGCTCTTTCCCTCCCCCCCTCAAGATTTGTTATTAAAATGTAGAGCAAAACAACTGGAAATTGTTCTCCCACTTTTTCTGGTTTTAGAATTTAAAAATATGACTGATAAGACGGAAGGTGTCTGAACAGGCGTCTTGTTAGTGATTCTCAAGTAGATTGATCTGTGAACTTTGGGCTATTATAAGAGATGGATACATTTGATCTAAAGCATTCTGGTGTAACTCTGGTTGCATGTAATTCAGCAGCTGTTGCAACTTTTGCCCCAACATTAAAACTTTTACAGTCAAATCAAGTCCCCTTGCTTTTATGTTTTTTTTTTGTTTTTTGTTTTTTTGCTTTTCATTTTTTTGCACCTAATGACTGAAACAACAAACAAAATAAAAAAAACACTAAAGCTCAGTACGCTCACTACAATATCAACTCAGTAAAAATCACAATGCATCATCAACATGGCTGCTTTTAAAAAACTATTGACGTGTGTGTGAATTATAAGCAAGGTTATATTTTTATTCTTTTTTCTTTTTGTTTTATGATGTTCTTCTGTTTCCCCCCATATGATGCGCTGCTGCATGAAGTCGTAATGTTTCCTCAACAGCTCGTTGTTGAAAATGAGAATTTGTTCTCAATCAACTTGCTTGGATAATTAAAGGTAAAATAAAAATAAATACGGCGTTGGAGTTCTCCCTCCTCTGAATCCATCTTCCCTTCAACTCAAACCAGCTTCTCCATCTCTAGTGAGGAAACGAATCCCCACAGTATGAAACTGCCACCACCAAGTTGCCTTTCTGCATTTCCTTCCATTTTGGTCTCATCTGACCAAAGCACCTTTTCTCCAAACTCCAACATGGTTTGTTGTCAAACTGTGAGCGTGATTTCTTTCAACTACAACTTTGTTGACCGATTTTGAAAGTTTGGGATAATTTGATATAACCTCACCTTGCTTCTCTACAATTCTCTACAATGACCTTACTTCTCTACAATTTACGAAGCGTCTGCTGCGCTCCTCGGTCTTTGTCATGTTTGTTTTCCAACAAACCGGTTCAAGCTGGAATCAAACAGGCTAAATTGCACAGCGATTAGCTAACTTGTGTGATCAGTCGGCAGCTTCACTTCATGTAAAACAGACGTGAAATTAAGCAAATGCATAAATAAACGCCTTAAATGGGAATTAAAAATGGAGTGTTGACGTCAGAAGCAACACGTTGGATCTGTGTGAGGCTTACAGAGGCTGTAACTCCGTCAGCATGAAGGTTAGTCAGAAGGTGATAACTGCTAGTCTGATTACTCTCTAACAGAAGAAAAATAAAATGTCAATCCTCGGCCTTCAGATTTAAGCTCCATGCTAGACCATGGCCCCTGGGGGGAAGGATGATTCAGACGAAGGCTTTTGTTATTGATTGATGCCACCTGGGGCCGCCGACACAAAGAGCGCGGCTGATAACGGAGGAAGACGTCAGGCTCCGACAGCTGGCCCTTTTTAGGAGCCGTGAGTACGGGCTGCCGTTAGCAGCAGCTGCATTTACAGTACAAATGAACACAAACCTTTGTCGATATTTATCAAAAACCGAAAAAACCCCCCACAATTTTGCAATTGCGGTGTTTCCTTTAAATAAGAAGCACGAGTAAAAATCACACATGAATAGGTTTGTTCACACGATGACTCGCTGAAATACATGCAGCGCAGTCGTCCTGCCACTTCCTGTCGTGTTCTTCGCCTTTTAACCCAACGATGGACTACAAGGAACGTCTTCCACTAAATCCTAAGTCCTGCTGGAGAGATGAATCGCTAATCAAACTCCATGTCCCATAAATGATCTCTTTTTTTTTAAATATATGAAACTACAATTGAATCGCGAACGTATCCTATAGAATCTAACCAAATAAAATCTTGTGCGTTAATTTTGACACATGCCCACAGAGCTCATGAGTGTGACCATGGCAGTCACACCAGCGTCCAAAAAATCTGTCAAGTGTGACTGAAATTTTAAAGGGACCCGAGTGTGTTTATATCTTCCGTGTTGGTTTCCCTCCCACACGTGGAGCCTGTCTCACATCACATCGCTCTCCTCTGCAGACGCCAGCTGGAAACACGGATACCCGGCTGACAAAACACGGGACACGTCACTGAATGTCGCTGGTCTCTTGTGGACTTTATGTCTAGTTTGTGACACAGTTTTATTCCATCTCGTATTGACGTCTATCTCTGGAAAATAAAGTGATTTAATTGAACTAAGCAGAAAAAAAAAAAACAAGAATCTTCAACCACAATGTGTGTTCTGGGTTATGTCTCTTCTTAACTAGTGTTAGCACTTTTGGTTGAAATAAATTCACATTATTGATAGATGTGCAATTATAATACTCTATATAATAAATTCATTAAAAAGGGCTCTTTTAAAACAGATGAAGGAAGTAAGTTCTGTTTTTTTGTCCAGCGTTTCTGTTGCATGGTCAAAAAGTTAAACAACCTTTTAAAGCACACCTCCTATTAATACTGGATGAAGTCTGGCTAAATAAAAGTAGATTGTTCATATTGTTTGTTTTTTTTTTTGCATTAACAACATGGCTGTTTTATTTGAACGCTCACATAAACATTTGCTTGTGTATTTATATTGAAATGAAATTTTATTCGAACATGATGCAAATACAAATATAAAAATAAAATAGTGCACAGTAACAAGAAGTGCATAAGAAAGAAGAGAAAATACAGATTTTTTGTTTCAGTTAACATATCATGCTCAAAATGGGGTAGGAAGAAATGAAAACTTATAAACTCCTACCCCCTAAACACTTGAAACTTTAGAGTCCTACTGTCATTAAAAAAATCAAAATCAAAGTGGCAGTCAGAAGTAACAATTACTAATATTTAACTATACATTTTCCCATTTTATGCTGGTTTGTCTTTCTAAACCCTTACACCAAGTTATCTGCAATACACACCTTATTGCTTTCTGTCACCCGTATGTGTATCTATTGAAAATTACCTCTTTGTACTTTCTTTTGAATTGTGTTAAACTATTGCTTTGTTTTAAATCTTCATGTAACTTGTTCCATAACTTTACACCTTTAATTGAAATACAGAAGCTTTTTCTTGTTCTAAAATTGCGGATCTTGAAGTTTGAGTGACCCCTTAAGTTATACCCCCCCTTCTCTTTCAGAAAACGTGCTCTGTATGTGCTCAGGTAACAACCTTTTAGATGCTTTGAACATAAATTGAGCCATTTTAAATTCTACAAGCTCGTCAAATTTGAGAATTCTGGATATTATGAAGAAAACTACATTTTTAAACTAGAAGCCAGTTTGCTGCTTTTAACAATGTAGTGAAGAATCACACAAATGTCCACAATTCCTCACGGCGTCAGTTGAAGCAAAAATATCAACATTGCTGTTGGGGCATTTATTGACGTATAAAAACAAAAACAAACAAACTTCTGACCAATCGCGCGACACGTTGCACCGAGCTCCGCGTGAAACATTTCGTCGAGAAGCGAACGGAGACGCATCATTGTACGTCGACGAGAGCCGGTTTGAGTGACGTGGTGGGGCCTTCACTGACTCGGTTGTTTTGTTTGGATACTTCACCTTTCAATCTGTGACAGGAACTTGGTCTCAAAGATGCCCCTGGTCTTCAGGCGCTCCGACAGTTTGCCCCTGAACAGCAGACCCTTGGTGGTGAAATCCATCAGCACATGCCTCACTATCTCTCCCAGGTACATCCCACTGATCATCTTCTCATATCTTCAAAAGAAAAAAAAAGACATACAACAAGAGGATTTCACGCCTGCACAACATTATTATGTGCAGTCAGACATTTTTCTTCACAGCCATTTTTTCCCACTGTCTGCACAGCTTTTTTTTTTTTTTTTTTTTTTTTTTTTTTTTTTTTTGGATGACATGACAGATTCACTTATTGCAGATGCAAGTTTAAGGTGTGATTATGGAGCAGCACAGAGATGTTCAGTTTTCAAATTCAGGCATGTGAACCGAACGCAGCAGCAGCTGAAGAGCGAAGAAGCTTCACTGTCAAAAACGACACAAAAATATTAAATGGGTTCAAACGAATGTAAGTAGTAAACAGTATAGTTTGACCTAAAGTAGGATTTTTATTTTGTTATATTACAATTAAACACATCCAGGGTCTATAATAATTATCTATCGTGTTTAATGTTTTACCGTCTTTATTGCTTTTACAAACCAAACTAAAATAAATAAATAAAATCTGAAAAAACTCTTCAATGTCAAAATGAAAACGGATTTCTACAAAACAGTTAAATACAAATATGTTATTTAAGTGACTGAGGTAATTCAGTTGTATAAAAACAATTATTTTAATTATTATATTGTAGAAATGAAGGAGGAAGATGTGTTTATACATCTTAATCTATGTTTCTAAGTGACATAAAACCTAGAATTTGATAAAAATAAAATCAACGAGATCAGTGAAAGGTATTTTAAGTCTGATCATGTCTTACACTTTTTCTTCTTATGTTTGCTCTGATTCCTGATTTTCATGTACCTCTGCTTCCCAGGGTAGTTGGAGGCTTCGTCGACAGCATAATCAAACTCTGTGCAAAAGTCGTCCAGTTCACCGTTTTCGCCGAATGCTCCCCACTCCACGTTGACACACATGCGGCCTTCATTTCCCTCCACCGTTTCGATGTTGTGCATTTCCTCCATGTAGCAGGCGTTGGTCCCTGTGCCTGGTGTAAAAAACAAAACAATCCTGATTACAGTAAAGCTTTGCATTTAGAAATACGTTGGCCACAGTGAGCACTTTATTATTGTAATTATTATTATTTACTACTGTTATTACTATTATTATTTGACATCAAGCAGGAAAGAACAGGAACAGACAGACTTACCTACAATAAGGCCCAGCTCACATTTGGGGTCCTGATAGGCACAGGTCATCATGGTGCCCACTGTGTCGTTCACCACCGCCACAAAGCTTAGGTCGAATTTCTGGATGTGGAAGAAACACAAACTCAATTAAGAGTTAAAATAATAAAAAATTAAAAAATCTGGAGAGAAAAAAAAGGAATAATAAAATGTTCAAGTGTCAGCGTGGAATTCTGTAAGAAAGAAACAAAAATAACACAAACAACAAAATGAGAGCTTGGGAGGGAAAAAAGTGAAATACAGGTTATATATATATTTTTTTTATATGTTTGTTCAAACTGTCACTGTTTTGACAGTGTAATATGTCAGATAATTTGTGAAAAAATTAGAGCTCCTCGGTCTTCAGAAATAAACCACTCCCAGTCAGAAAAAAACAATCAGAGTCAGTAGGAGGAGAGTCTTAGCGCTGTCAATCACGCTTGTGAACACGCTGGTCACACAGTCCCTCTCTGCTGTGCTACAGCTCCTCCCCCACAGCAGAGCCCGCCGCGAGCATACAGGCGAATAAGTACGGCCACCAGTGACGGTGGATAAATAGTTTGAACAAATATGTAAAAAAAAAAAAAACAAACTTTTATAAAAGTTACCCAAAGACAGCATTACATCGTCTCTGATAGACCAACACACAGCAGATCATTAATGTAAAGTTCTGGGTTTTTTTTCTCTTCTTTCAAATAAAAACTTCACACAATGTTCAAGTTCAACCCTCTTAACCTGAAACCCAATACAGCCCAACCAGCTGCCTCCAGGAAACAGCCAAATAGATCAGTTTCATCTGGCCCAGTCAAAGTCCAGATCAAGATGTGAGACTTAAAGCAAGAGCAGAAGAAGAATTAGGCAAACATTTCAGTCTCTTCATCTGAAAAGCTGGTAAAGGCTTACAAAAAAAAAGTTCAAGAGGGTTAGTTACCTTCGTCAGC